ACGTCCCCCCCCCGCCCCCCCCCCCCAAAAAAAAAAATATTCCCACTTCAACCCAATACCATCCCTGGCCCTTACTTCCACAATTTATTTATTCCTAAAATTTAACAAATTTCCAGGTGCCATGCTGCCATGTTCAAGTAGATCTCATTCTCACTTCTATCCACATCAAAGCTGTATTTCCTAATAGAATTTCCAGCTGTGAAAACTGGAGTAAATGGTTTCAAAAAATTTCAGAGATTTGCCCAGAAGCAGGTAAGTTGAGATATAATATCATCTGCTGACGTTAAAATCTATTTAGCCAAAATATCAGTGTTTTTGGCAAAGCCCCTTTAAAGAATTGTCAAAAATTCATTTACCTTTGAACATTTCATATCATTGCCCCCCACCCCTCGTTTTTCTGTATAGGAGACTTGCAGTTCCAGATTGTTTGAATAGCACTCGGCCACACCCTTTCCAAGGCAACATAAACACACATATACTTAATTGGATCTAATAACCACTTACATCTACATCAAAACTATACTTTTTCCTAGAATTCCCAGGAGACAGATCAACAGGCACCAAGCCTCGTGCAATGGCGCCTATCAAGTCATGGCGTTTCCGTGTGACCAGCTGAGCCTGACCTATTATCTTGTTCCGTGGTGTACGTAAGTATGGGCGATTGATCATCTGAGATAGGTTCTCTGTTGCCTCTTCTAGCTCCGTCTGTGGAAAAATGAAAGTAGCTCATGTGACATGACTTATATTGTGTAAAACCAGCCTGGATTTAGTTGTCCTGTATAAAAAGTTTTTACAGTTCCCAGGTATATGCTTGTAGTGATTTCAAAGATCACTTGCTGAGGAATTCATTTTAAAATAGTATTTTCTGAAGATACCCGATTCACAAGATTTTCTAAGTACAGTAAACTAAATAAAATTGAAAATGACCTAAAACACTTAATATTCAATTAATTTAGAAAAATAAAAAAGAATTTTAATTAAAATATTCAACTGCAATCACCTGCATGAATTCAAAGATGGGTTTTCTAATTCCTACTTCTTCTATGTAATAACCATAGACATAAGAACACTTCAGGACGCGCCGTGCCTTGAGCAATTGGTGGACTGCATCTTCTATAAACTTGGTCTCAATATCTGCAGTTGCTGTAAAATAAAGATGTCAAATTGAAATTGAATGAAATATAACTGAATGTGCTTCTTCAAAATTCTGAGGGGATCATACATTGTTGATGTTGTGTGAAAATAAAGAAAATATAATAACTTTTGCTGACTCGTCACATCATATTTTAGGATGATGAGTCTTATTTAATATTTCATATAAAATTTTTATCCCTAAGGCCATAACATTTGTTGCAGGCAACAATTTGCTACATTGTTATTATTGTTAAAATTATTAGGATAGTGAGTTTATATAATAAAAGCGGCCTTGTTTGGCCAAATCACGAACACGAACAATCTTTGTTGCCTTCTCTCTTGTTATGAATGGGACTATGAAAGTTCGCAGTACACAGGGATGGAGGAGACATAAATGCGTATGTATATGTGAATACTGTATGGGATATTCTCACTAGCATGTACCATTAATGGATTGAAGTGGTCTTCTAAGTGCTTCAAAACTGGGATAGGCGATGAAAATGGAGATTTGGGATACATGTTTACCTGCCAAGAAGAATAAGAACTATTACAAGTGACAATTCTAATTTCATAATACTTGTCTGAAATGTAGTATAGGAATCCCATGGTCAGGACGTAGGTGGTGGAGGGGGCAGGGGGGAGGATGGGCACTGTATTACCTGGATCGCTGACTGCATTGGCAAGTATCAGCATCTTTTCTTTGGCAGTGGTAAGCAATGGTTCCTCCAGCTGAAACAAGAAAGCAAACATTACATATTGTTTTGTTTAAAGGTATCTTAATATCTGGGATTTTCACATCTAACTGAATTTATTTTACATTTGGATTTCATGTTTTTTACCTTGATCATTTATAATTAATCATAGCAATTTATACAGATCACAGGTGGATTTGTTAGAATCTACCAAGAATCATTTTAGAAAGACACTTATCAATGCCCATTAACAATATATTCTTCCCCCACAGTTTTATAACACTTTCTTTAAAACATCACACCTATTTGAGTCCAAGAGTTTCAGGTATTTTGAACTTTTGGTATGTCTCTTAAGTCTTTCTCACATACCTTGAAACTATTGTCATGATTTTTAAACCTAGTGTAATAGTGGACAAACTTGTGCATTTCTTTGTTAGCCATGTGCTTCTGCTCAGCCTGAAATATAATTTGGTACATACAAAACAATATCCATGTACTGGTGGTATTATGAATGCTGAAATATACTGAACAAATATAAAACCTAATCTTGAAACATTTGTCAAAAAAGAATATTATAAATCAACCAGATAAATGTTTAATATGCAACAATAAATATGGCATGGCATGTGCATTTTACATGATTCTTATCACTGATCCAAAGTTTAAAAGAAAAAGAAAAAAATCTAAACATAACATTTGAAGGGGGAAATAAAATTGCTACAGTCTACTACTATCTGGATAACCAAGGAGATTGCCATTATTTCTATAATACGGTACTTACCTTACAAGCAAGTTTGCTTTCCCTATTTGTAATAAGGTTAATTTTCGCACTGTTAATATATTAATCACTTCCTTACCTCTGTCTTTTGCACTTCTGTCTGTTCATCAACTTTCTTTGACACATCATATCTATTGCACCTAAAGTACCCCCCAGTGGCAGAACTGTGCTTCTTCCACTGTTCTAGACACACCCAGCAGAAGTCGTGTTTGCACTGGAAATTGACACAGGTCCTCATTATAATATCAAAATGTACTCTAGTCAAGATTCCAGGCTGTCATCTAAAGCAGCTCATCAACTACAGATTTATAAATCATATCTATGCTGTTAATTACAGGATCAGCTAGACCATTCTATATTCAATGGTTGAGAAGTAAAAAAAAAATCTTCAACTCTATCCTTTACTTGGCAGGGTGTGTTTCAATAACTAATTCTTAGAATTATAATATTTTGTATATTTCTGGATTTATCAGTGCAACTTACAGAAAACCCCCCAGATATCAGTGTTTTTGGCAAAGCCCTTTTAAAGGATTGTTAAAAATTCATTTACCTTTGAACATTTCATATGATTGCACCCCTCGTTTTTCTGTATAGGAGACTTGCAGTTGGGACAAGGCTTGGCATTGGTCACCAACCACAGTATATTGGCTGATGTCTCCACTGCTCCACTCGTGTCACATACTGGAAAACAAAACATAAAAAACTAGGTTGATATTTCACTTTATGCTCTCTGAAATGTCCATCGAAATTCCCGACTGGAGACAACATTCCGATCATGTATAATTTGATCACAGGAATTACATCACAGAACAAACACAGAATCAATTGCAACAGCAATGAAAAAGGACTGACGGAGATTAATTGGGCATGTGAGCAGGATGGAGAAAACAGCAATTCCAAAAGTAGCAATAGGATGGGCACCAGAAGGAAAAAGACACAGAGAAAGATTGAAAGAAACATAGAAACAATCTGTTGAGAAGGAGATGAAATAACAAGGATGGATGAGGGACAGCAAGAGGGTTATGCAGCAGACAGACAACACTCGCGAGCAATGGCAGATGCCTTAAGTGCCACATCGGCACAAAGAGAATAGTCAGTCAGACATAATTTGATCAATAAATAAGAGTATGTTTTTGAGTCAAAGTTCTGGTTTTAAAATCCCTGTCATACTTAAGATAGAGACTAGAGAATTTCACTAAATATGGCAAAACTAGAAATTTGAAACTCAAAAGGAGGTTTAATTTTTTGGCAAAATAGATTTCAATGTCAACAGATGATATTAAATCTCAACTTACATGCTTCTGGGCAGATCTCTGAAATTTTTTGAAACCATTTACTCCAGTTTTCACAGCTAGCAGGAGCATGAGCTTCTCCAAGACAGTCCCTGAAACATAAACACATTTTCTGTCAAACCATTTAATTATGGTAACAATAGCTACCATTATTTAAAACTTGTAATAACCTTGAAAACGGTTATTTATAATGGTGATGTGATATCACGTAAATGTTTAAAACAACAAAAACATCATAGGCTTCTCAATATAAATTAGGCTTAAGCTTACTATGAGATGTAATTACTTACCAACAAAAATAATGGCCACTCCCACAATCCACGGATCTGGAGGTGTCGCCAGGAAGTTTACTGGCGATAGATGGCTGAACTGGTGACATAACACCACTGGCGCCATCCATATCCGGTAGTTTTACTGCACGGATACAGCCAGGAGACGGACACCACTTGATATTGGGGTTACTATCAACAAACGCCTTAAAGAAATAAAGAATGTTGGCGATATAAGGTATTGTGAAAACTGTCAACTGACTGAGATAGAAAGAGACAGATTATTTGTTATTATAAGTTTTGACTGTTCTGTATTCTGTGATTGGGCTTTCATTACAAGGGTAAATAATAATTTAAAATATTAAGTTTTTTAGAAAAGAAAATAATATTTCTTAAGAGACTAAGCATGTTTTTACCTGTGAGGTATATTCTTTTAAAGAGTAACATGAGATGGCATATTTCACCAGTTAAAAAGATGGCATGTATCACCAGTTAAAAAAAAGGTTAGAACTTTCTACAGAGATAGTTTCCTTTTTGAAAATATAAGGCTTTTTTCACAGTAGAATTCTTGTTATGAATCTTCACTTTAATATAAATCACACTTTTCATAACAAAACAGTGCCACATGTAACACCTGTAACAGGTATAATTCCTCCTGATAAAACAGAAAACTCATATAATGTCATACTACACTTTTCAAAAACTTTCAGAACCATTTCAACTGTAGAACACACACACACACACACACACACACATTCAAACTTAAGAGGAAACCCCAGCTAGCCCACCTGTATGTCAAACTGCAGATATCTCCTGGCCATATCTCTTGAGACAATCTCCTCAATGAGTTCTACAGGTACAAGTTTGATACAGTCATAAGCAGGGCAGGTAATGTTATGGGCCTCGCCCTCTTGGATTTTCACATTTAGATAGCTACAAAATAAACAGATAGATGAATGCATTAATTCTTTTTCTCTGCAGACAGTGTTCATTTTCAATATACTTTTGTAGAAAGAATCAATTATCTTATGAATGATTTTAATATTATACCTGACGTTGGCAGTATTTCATATGTAGGCAAAAAAGCTTATACTGAACAAAAGGTTTTTATTTCCAAATTTAAAATCAGAACAAAATGGATATATAAGCCAAAAAGTAAATATTAAAAGAACTGGAAAGATCCTTTTCTTTAAATAGCACCTTAATGTCAGTTTTTAATCTCAATTAAAACTGCATTAATTTCAGATATTAAGTTTGAATCCTGAAATATTTATACTTATCTTGGTAGCACTGGAACCTGAAAAACTACTCACCCTTCCCAGCATGCTCGGCAAAACCTGTGTTCACATGACATGGGAACTGCCGTCTCATCACTTGGAATGTAGTTTGCACATATATCACACTAAAAACAATGAGAACAGTAACAGTCATTGGCTTTTATCTAAGTTTTCAATGAATGATGAAAAAATGGAATGTATTTAAATATATAAGCAAAAGCTAAGTTTTTTCCTTGGTTTTATTCTTGCTTTAGTTAATAATTTCATGATCAGCTTATTTGGTTTTTGTCCTCTGAACATCTTAATATAATATAATATAGAAACTTTACCTTAAAGAAGTGGGAATAAAAGGTTGACATATTTACGAGTAGCTGTCAGCAATATTAAGAAATATTTCTTGATTTTTTTTTAAAAGAAGCAAAACATTACAACTTGTCAAATATTTAATTAAAAATTTCAACAACCCCAAAAATCTTTTCAGTCAATGCCAGTTCTGAGTCTAGTTTCACTTACGAGTATGTCAGATTGTCCGTGGTGACGTGGCGTGACACTTCTGAGAGTGTCGGAGTCCTCAGAGGACTGAGCCATCAGATCCTCAAACACACTGGATGGTGGATTTACTCCACTCTTCTCACAGCAGACTATAGCATCCCTCATCCAGGCTTCCAGGAGCATTTCTCTGGACCATTCTGAAATATTATAAAATTGAATGTACGGTAATTAAGTACGAATTTTCAAATACCCCACTTATTTAAATATCAAAAATCAGATAAATGTACTTAGTCACATAAACCCAACTTACTTTCATAATTAAGAATGTTTTTTCACACAAAACAATCTTTTTAGGAAATACAAAAAAAAAAAAATCAATTTTGTTCAAATTTAGCAATGATTACAGTAAAATGGTTACAGATCATTATGAATAATCCATGTTTGCTACTAGTGACACTACTTTGACAGAAACTTGTTTTATAAGTGTCACTGTGTCTGTGCTACCCAATGAAACATTAATATTCTGCAGTAATACTGCCTCAAACTTTCCCACAAATACGTAAATCAATATATAAAACCTGAAAACAGGTTTACAGATTGTGGTTTTATACAACACCACTGGATGGGATAACCCTACAAGTTAGTAATTTGAAGAAAAGTGTTGAAATTTCAGGGGATTTTTTCCTATGTTAATTCAAAAACGCATTGCATTTTTGTTTGTCAAATTTATACCCATTGCTGTGTATCACATGCATATGATGTGGAGTACCATACACTTGTATATACAGTGCACAAAAAATGACATAAGTACTCAATGTCAGATAATTAAATTCTTGACAAGCTTTGGAACAAATTCTAATAAATTAAAAAAGTAATTCATCTTGGCATTATTGTACTTGACATCTGTATTCATGAATATATTTTCTTTGACTAGAAAGGTTACCCGGTACATATATCTTCATGGTACACAGATAATTGCTTAACATAGTACATTATCTCCATTTTCAAGTTAACCTCAGAAAATATATGCATGCCACAGGTTTCCGTTATCTACAGGTTCATTATCAGGGTCACTGCTTTCTAAGTGGGTGGTCTTTATATTGTAATTCATGGGGAAGCAACTTTTAAAAACAGACGGTGACCACTGAGGCTGAGGACAGAAGAATTATTTCTGCCTATTACCCTTCTCTCTTCCCTGATATTCTCCCTCTCTCTCTCCCTCTCTTCACTTACAAATCTCTATCTCTCCCACCACTCCCTTGTCTCCCCCCCCAGCTGCCCCTCCCTCTCTCTTCTCATTCTATGATCTCTCTCTCCCACCCTTCTCTCTCTCTCTCTCTCTCTCTCTCTCTCTCTCTCTCTCCCCTTTTGCTGGACTTCAAAATACTTCCCCATCTTTCTCTCCCCACTAGTTACCATGGTTTCTGAGCAGGGCCTCAGCAGTGAACAGTGGCACCCTCAACATATCTGATGTTTCCACCAGCAGTTGGTCCTTGGCCTCCTGCAAGTCTTGAGCTTTAAGACCACTGTATTCCTGTAATAGTAAAAGAAAGAATAGGATATTTAAGGCTTTAATGCTCAAAATAAGTTTTCCGGTCAGTCCTTTGTTGTGAAACACTACACAGTATATATTCTGTACATTTATGTTCACATCATTAAATAATTTTGTAAATTAAAGCTCAAATTGCATACTTGCATTAATTAAATCATTAATAATTTCACAAAAGATATGTCAAAATACCAAGAAGTTTTAGCAAATGCTTTACATTATCTATACTTGACTGGTACACAGGGATAATGAAAATCTTTTCAGAATTACAAGAAAAAGGCATACAAAAATTTCAATATCAGCTGGGCAACAGTGAAACCAGTCCCTATAGCTTAAAACAATACTACAGTGACATCAGCAAACATTTATCAGACATCACACATCAATAGCCAAAAAATAAAATTATCTTCTAGTTCAAACCCCTCCAGCTTAGTTGGCAATGATAAACTTTGACATCATGATAGCTGTTGCCATGGTGATGAATCGCTATCACTAGAATCTGGCTTACCTCCTGTAGGTCAATAGAAACAATGGCAGCATCCTCATTTTCATCCACAGCCATGTCATTCTGAAGTATGAAAAGAAAAAAAAAACACCACTGATATTAATTCATGAAGTTACAATGTCACAGATACAGAAATTAAAGCACTGCTTCAGGACTAGACTCAATGATTAAATATGTCCATCTATATAAATAGACATTATGATTTGATTCAATTCTCAAAGTTTTTTTTGTGGGGGGGGGGGAGGAAATTGACATTATGATTTGCTTCAATTCTTAAAGATTTTTTTTTGGGGAAAAGTGGCATGAACTGCATCAATAAAGTATTCTTTGTAACAGCATTGCCATAAATACTTTCTCTCCCTCTCTCATATCACTCTGTGGTATATTTATATGACATCTTTAATTTCCCACCAATTTACTATGGTTTCTGAGCAGACATACAACCACAACAATAACATGAAACCTGCTCAGAAGCAAAACCTGAAAAGACAAATTAGATTGAAACCCAAATAATGCATTATCCATCTTCTGTAACAGCACAGCCTTGGCTCGGCAAAGTGTTGTACTACATGATACAAATATGGTTTACTGGGTTACGGAAAAAGATATCAGACAGTTGTGGATGGAATCAATTTGTCTGGGGCCTTTGACATTTACATAATAATACAAATTGAATGATTCACAATAAAAGCTTTTCATTGATCATTTAAAGACCAACAGTGCTGAGAGAGAGAGAGAGAGAGAGAGAGAGAGAGAGAGAGAGAGAGAGAGAATCAAAGTGTGTTAGAGAAAAAAGTGAGCACTGAGCAGTGCTAAGCCTTGTTTCAGTGTTGTTATTTATTCCAGTATACTGACAAAACTTGGCCAATAGCATGTAATGCAATATTTCATTATTAATGTCTGTGTGTGTCTGTTTAGTGGTGTACTTACAGAGAAAACCATCTTGGACTCCAGGTAGAGGGCTATATCAGAGAAGCCTGCCCTCTCAGCACAGTCACAGGGCGTCTCATTATCCACATTCTCTATAAAAAGGGGTGCACCATTGTTGACCAAAAACTGAAAAAAAAAATTGAGGTATCTATTAATGGTATGATACACAGAATATTTAATAATATTAATAAACTTTCAATTCAGGAATGTCAGGAATTAATCCATAATGGCAAAATTTGACAAATTCAATTGTGTAATGATAGGGACAAAAAACACAGTAAAGTGGGCATTGTTTGTTCAATTATGTGAATATGTGAATATACAAGAAAAAAAGAATAAATAATTTATTTATTGTCATGTATCTGAGCAGGTGCTTCTGAATCACCTAAAAGGCTTAACAGTATAAGACCATACACAGTAACACAATTGTAACATTGTGATAAAAAAACTTATTGTGTCATACAGAGTATGCCTTTAATAAATGGAGCCAGAAACACAAGCCATGCGTATGTCTCCATAGGGTGTTAATTTGATATAATAATTGCTTTATGATATGGAGAGCCCTGATAAATATACTTTCAACTACCAACATCTATAGTTTACCTTGAAACTTGTATTGCAATCAAGAATGAAGTATTGGCACATCTAATTGCTTTTTATTTAATTTATTGAAATTGATCATGTCCTAAGAGTAAATGTTGCAGACAGACATCAGCTTTTATACACTAGTTTAACTCCCACTAATTGAATATCAGAATATCAGGAGCCTAAATTTTCACATTTAAAAAAAAAAAATTGTACAAATCCCGGAAACAATGACTCCCAGAGCAGATGAAATCGATTAAAAATATTTTTAATGGAATGGTGGTGATCTATAGCAATGGGCGTTTCCTGATACATTTGATTTTTTTTTCATGCAAGTAGAAAACGTAAGACTGAAGATAAAATTATGCCATAACAGAAAAAAAAAGTCTAAAAAATATTACTAATACCCATATGAATATATCACATGCACCTAAATTCCATCTGGAATTTTTCCCAAACTACAAAACACCATATAAGTATCAAGTAGACAATCTCTGAAGGAACTGTCATGTAATCCAGTACCTAACTACACTTAACACACATCACTGCCTTCAAAATTCACTTCAAAGTCTACGCAATGACATATTGTCATGGCAACTACAAGATTACCGATAGGTTTTCTCCTAGGTACGTATGAAAGTGTCTGATGCAATTCCTGTGAGGCTTTTCAAGAATCTTCCCTCATCCATTCCCATAATTACTGCATTGACAGAGAACGAGACACTGTTATGCAATAAAAAGACCTGTAGACATCAGTATTCCATCATTTCTAGCATAAAGGAATAGTTCTAAACAATACAATGTCATCATACCATATACCAAATTACCTTGGGGCAGTTTAATGAGACCAACTAAACAGATAATCACGGAGTTGATTTACTACATCATGAAAAACTCATCTTCTTTATGTAAAATCCAAATTCCTATGTTCTGTAATTTCTACCACAAAGGGAATAGAACAACATTTTCATTGCGCCATAGGTCACAGATCCAAATAATTGAATAAATTTTTTTGTTTGATAATGATGAACCAAAGTCTGTGTGTTTATACCCTCTGCAACACTAACTACAGGAGTAAATACAACGCACACATGCATGCACGTGCACAAGCATACACCACTACATAATTTGCCACATAGTAATACCTTGAACAAGTCTTGTGGAATGGATTTCTATTTTGGTACACACACACATACAACTATATAACCTGTCACGTAGTATTACCTTGAACAAGTCTTGTGGAATGGATTTCTATTTTGGTACACGCACACATACAACTACATAACTAGTCACATAGTAATACCTTGAACAAGTCTTGTGGAATTGTTTTTCTATTTTGGTACACGCTCACATACAACTATATAACCTGTCACGTAGTATTACCTGAACAATTCTTGTGGAATTGATTTCTATTTTGGTACACGCACACATACAACTATAAAACCTGTCACGTAGTATTACCTGAACAAGTCTTGTGGAATGGATTTCTATTTTGGTGCTGGCTGATATTTTATCTAACATCAGCCACAACTCAAATCCTCGCTTAACTCAAACAAATTACATATTAAATGAATGTCACCCAGCTGTCTCCTTATTGCATAGTGTGGCCAATAACATGAAGACACTAATAATGTACCATCCCAGCTCCAACTACTTAAAGATACTCTATACATTGTAAGTTTCCCAGAAAATCTAATTTTCCTTTTCATGAGAAAGAAAAAGCAATTTCCTCCAACTTACAAATTAGAGCTCAACCTGCCCTGCATTTGGGTTTGGATGTTCTGCAAAATTTATATGTTTAATAATTTATTTAAAAATACCTTTGTTTTAAATGAAGCAGGATTACATAGGATTCGTATAGACCACAATGTCTTTTTGACATTTAAGAAGGAAATCAGTTTATATTTATATTTCAGGGGTTTTGACATTTTTAAAGTCTGAATAAGGAAAGATAAGTAGCTTTGCAGGATATGTAGCCTTTGAATCATTTTTCAAAGGCATAGAGTATGCACTGAAGGGAATATGATCCTACAAATGTCACCTTTGAAATAACACCTGGGTTAAAACATCAGTCTATTTTGAACAAAACACAACCTGCTGTTTCAAACAAAAGGCTTGTGTTAGCTCCCACCCTCCTTGGAAAGATGAACACATGATATACAAAAAGAAACAACCAACATAGAGGCAGATCCACAGATATTTTCTGACAGTCTTCCAAATTATTTTTGTTGATCAATCTTTAATTTGTTACCATCTTTTGACAAAAAAATTATATACCCGTCAATGTGAACTTGAAAATCTGTCTTCCGGACGACCCAGAAGATGGCCTCAACCCACCCCTGCAACAATAATCATTCAGGATACATACCTCCACACATCTCTTGAGACCAGAGCTGGCAGCATAGTGGAGACCAGTGTTTTTGTCCTGGAATGAGAAATATATCAAACTAGAGGATCAGAGAGGCGATGCCGCCTCCGAATATTGTACCACCAGCTGGAGCAAGCGCATTCATATAGACCCCCACATATACAAAATAAGGAACACAGCCACCAGTCTTGTGCTTGACAAGCTGTAAAAATGCAATCAACAAGAATTTTCAAAATATGCAAAAAATATATATATTACTAAAAATGGTACAATCAAAGTTAAGTTCATCGCAAGGTAGGTCAAAGGTCAATTCCAAGGTCACAGTAAATTGCCAGTATATGACTTCCTATTCAACTTCAATAGTAACTATGGGCCTATCTCTGCCAGGTTTGGAGTTAAAAGAGAAAGAAATTAGCAGAGTTCAGTTCATGATAATAAGTAGGTCAAAGGTCAATTTCAAGGTCACACTTAGATTGCCAGTATATGACTTCCTATTCACGTTCAATAGTAACTATGGACCTATCTCTGCCAGTTTTGGAGATAAAGGGGAAGCAAACTATGCAAAGTTCAGTTCATGGTGAAAAGTAGGTCAAAGGTCAATTTTAAGGTCAC